AAAGAAAGAAAGAAAGAAAGAAAGAAAGAAAGAAAGAAAGAAAGAAAAGAAGGAAGGGAGAGAAAGAAAAGAAGAAAGGAAAGGAAGAGGGAAAGGAAGGGAAGAGGGAAAGGAAAGGAAGAGGGAAAGGAAGGGAAGAGAGAAAGAAGGAAAGGAAGACGGAAAAGAGAAGAGAGGAGAGGAAACCATTAAAGGTTGGGGGCAGGAAGGCAGAGGTGTGTGACATGGATGGATCTGTTCCTTGGTAAGATTATTTTGGTTGATGCATGGTGGATGGATTGAAAGGGGAAGAGAGGGGAAGTCAAGGGAATTATAACAGCCTAGGGGAGAGTTAATGAGGGCCTGAACTCTGGAGGTAAGCATGAGAGTATAGAGAAGGGAATGAGTGATAAGAGAAATGTAGGAGGGGGATAGAATCAGTAAAACTTAGCAAATGATTGGCAATGGGGGAGGAGAGGACAAGGATCTCTCCTAAGTTATGAAACTGGAAAGAAATGGGGCCCTTAACACAAACAGAGAAGTTTAGAGGGAGGGTTCACTTAGGGGAAAAGGTAATTCATAAATTTCACAAATTTTTGCTAACTGAACTAATTATCTACATTTAAAGTAGGGGTTATTAACCTTTTTTGAATCATGGGCCTCTTTGGCAATCTGTAAAAATCTATGGGTCCCTTCTCAGAATAATGTGTTTAAATGCATAAAATGAAATACATAAGATTACAAAAGAAATCGATTATACTGTAATGTAATTTTTAAAATAATATTCTGCAAAAAGTTCATGGACACCAAATTAAGAATTCTAATTTAGTCCAATGGTGAATTTTTTGGTTTATCTATTCTAGGACATCTATAATATTTTTAAAGACATTTAATGGGACGGCACAGTAGGAAAAAAACAACAAAATAATTTCTCCAGAAACCTAAACACATTCTCTTGTAAATATACACACAATCAATGGGAAGAATTCTTTCCCTTGGTATCAACATTAAATCTTTGAACTTTAGAGTTCCGAGGAACCTTCGAAATCATTTAGTCCAGAGGTATCAAACATGCTACTGTGGGCTACATACTGCAGCAATTCCATATTGTGACCAGAATCAAATTAAAATGTAATTAGGAACAATTTAGCAAAATAAATAAAAAATCTGATAAAATATAGATAGCATCTCATTTTAAAACTAGGTCAATATGCAGCCTGCTGGGATCCTTATGTATGGATTAATGGCCCCATTTCTATTTGAGTTTGACACCACTGATCTAGTCTAACTGTCTGCTTTTACAGAGAAGGACACAGGGGCCTAGAGAAGGAAAGAAACTTGTGGAACATCACATATAGATTTAACATAAGAGATGGTATGTGAACCCAAGTGTCCTCACTTTTAGGCCAGAGCTATTTCAACCTGTTCTAGGCAGCTTCTACCAAAGTTGAGTCTTTCATAAGCAAGTAGGCTCTCCAAATTACTACAGGAAAAAATTATCAGAAAGGAATTGAAGATGTTTCAATACTTTAAACTATGCATAGTGGGCGGTGAGGGGTGGGAAGGGAACAGAAATAGGGGTTTTTAATTATTAAGGCAAACTCATGAATCTTAGATGTGTATATCCCCAGACCCTACCTTATGACTCAGTTTCAACATAGAAAATTAGGAAAATGTCCATTCAGATCTGTTTCAGGGTCAAACTCAGTATGTGATCCAATAATTATTTATCAAGGTCCTCCTATACCTAAAGTATCTAGGATGAGGTGAGCATGCTCATTGCCTGACACTTTCTCAAAAAAAAAAAAAGTTAGTAAAACTTTCCAGGAGAAATTCAGTATATTAAATTTTAGAATTGCATCCTCAAAAATGTAGTATTTTTAAGGGCCAAAGATATACAATTTAAAATAAATAATTAAATCCCAATGAATATACAACCATAATAAGGTGATATGACTGTATGAGAGGCTTAAGTTCAATTACCAATTTTATTTGAATTAAGAGTAATTCTGTTGAGGTGAAATAGAATCCTAAGCCTGCTGGGATCATTATGTATGGATTAATGGCCCCATTTGGGGCTGTTTCCACCCTGGAGTTTCTATTCAGTGAGAGCTCATATCTCAGAAATAATCCATCTTATACCTGATTATTTTTCTATGGCTGTTGTAATGAAGAAAAGGAATGAAAGTAGAAGAATCTCCAGTTTTCTTTAGGATATGGACCAAGTAATCCACTTGCCTCTCTCCAAACTCGTCTATCCTGATTTGTCCAGTGATTCCTAGAAAGAGAGATAATTTCTTAAGGTAAAACAAATGGAAAGAAATGGATTTGTCCAAGATGGCACCATGCTTTCTGAAAAATCTAACACACCGTCTTCTGTTTCTCTATGTATTACATGACCTCAAATCCTGACCTCTGGGTTTACACGTATTACAAATCAATTACTCCCCAATCATATCTCTTTGACTTATTTTGCTCCCACCCAGAATTTCCTCTGAGAACCTCAGAATGTAGCTTGGTCTCCACAGACATGAGTAAAAGGACCTGTCTCCTAGATGAATACCCAGATCACAAAACTGGAAAGAGAACAGTCTGTTTCACCTCTCAGAAAAGTCATAAAACCACAAATGATTCACTGCATTCCATGATCAATTGGCACAAAATTCTCAGTCCAACACTGAGATTCTAATCAATCTTACCCTCATCCTATGAATAGATACATATTTCCCAGCCTTTTATTAAAATTAAGTGACAATATGAGATTAACTATAATATAAATCCAAGGATTCAATCTCCCCTGGACAAGAAATAAATTTGAGATTGATAGAGAGGCAATCCACTGACCTCCCCTCAGAAGAATGCCAAGACTTCTGCCCTGAGGAATGAGGGTGTTCCTAGAGCTGCTGGAGCAACAAGAGAGTTAAGTTGTGATGCAGAGGAACAAACTTAAATTTTCACCCTCTGCTGCCACCATTATTTATTTGGACACTCCCAGCTTGATAAGAAGGAGGTTACCTTTTTCTTGAGGTTCCAAGCTCATTTCCCTTCTTAGGAGAGTTTAAACTTTTCAGGTGATAGGATCTGGCAGGGGGCCTGTATAGGGCCTTGGAGTAGAGAGTGAGGCTCACCAGCTTCCTCTCTAACAACTCCAAGTTTATTTCCCTTTAAAACAAAAAGGGAAGTCTAAACCCTGAGGTTAGTACTACAAGACTGGAGGCCTACATAGATCTTTAAGATGAAAGGTAAGACTTATCAGAAAGGAAAGAATTGTATCAATAGTTCATGGGTTAGTGTTCTTCCTTTATGATGTTGTTTTGCATTTTTTGTGGGGCTAAAATAAAAGTATCTAAAACACATATATAACATGTAATATATATGTTATATATACATATATGTTTTATATGTGTGTACTGTGTATATGTATGTGTATGTGTGTGTGCATACACATATATAATATATATGTGTATATATAGTATATGTATGTGTGTGTGTGTGTGTGTATATGTATATGTATATGTATATATATATATATATATATACATAGAGAGAGAGAGACAGAGAGACAGCGAGACAGAGACAGACAGAGACAGAGTTACCTGGATTGTTTTCATGGGAGGCAGAGCTTTTACTCACATCTCTAAGAAACCTAGAAAAGAACTGTGTTCTGAGGTTTCCAGAGAAAACTCTGGATAGGCTTCTCTCCTGACTCTCTAGAATTTCTGTACTGTACCATAGCAGCCTTCTCACCCTGGTATTTCAGTCTTCTATGGCCACCAGAGCCTGGAAGTCCAAGCTACCCCTTGTAGGCTCTTGCACTGATTGGTCATTCTTTTGTGTGTGTGTGTGTGTGTGTGTGTGTGTGTGTGTGTGTGTGTGTGT